AGTAACTGTAATTTAATTACAAATTTTTTCTCAGTAACTGTAACTGATTACAGTTACTTTTATTTTGTAATTAAATTACGTAATTCCATTACATGTAACTAGTTACTTCCCAACACTGTTGGTTCCTTTGTGGCTACTTGAATATTTTAAGTAAGTGTCACTCAAAACAGTAAGTAAATTGTTTTATTTGCCTTGAAAGTAGCTGTAACTTAATAAAACCTAGTAAGTATAACAACTAAGTAAAGATAACTAACTAAATCTAAGTAAGGTAAACTATTGGATTTTACAGTGTATGTGCCTGGGGTACTTGTAACCATGATCCCAGGTATCCTGAGAGAATAGGCAATGGAATTTATTTTATTCTATTTCCTAAACCCAAACAAAACGAAGCAAAATGTCCATAAGCATTCACCCCCAATCCCAATGAAGACAAAAACGTTCGTTTTCTGGTTGTCATACTCTCATTACTTAATAAAACCTAGTAAGTATAACAACTAAGTAAAGATAACTAACTAAATCTAAGTAAGGTAAACTATTGGATTTTACAGTGTATGTGCCTGGGGTACTTGTAACCATGATCCCAGGTATCCTGAGAGAATAGGCAATGGAATTTATTTTATTCTATTTCCTAAACCCAAACAAAACGAAGCAAAATGTCCATAAGCATTCACCCCCAATCCCAATGAAGACAAAAACGTTCGTTTTCTGGTTGTCATACTCTCATTAAGTTACAATTTTCATCTGCTCAAGCAGAACGTTAATGTCATCGTGCTTTAGCAAGGTATCTCTGGCTAAAACTAGCTAATATTAAAGTTAGTGAGTCCATGCTATTACAAACCTAAATAGCGGACTGTTCTCGCGTCTTGTACAGTGTAGGGCAAAAACACAAACGAAAGTCTACATTTCAGTGCCTCTCCATATTAAACTGGTTAAATGTAAATTAATTTAATCGTACCCTGCGATACATGAACAGTGTTGATCCGGGATGTTGTTATCTGCGATCGTGACGACCGTAACATGAGGCTTCTCCCGCTTGCATTGTGTCTGTAAACCCTCGCCTCCAAATTAATACCCACAATATTTATTTTTAAATATTTCATATATCCCTCCATGGCATATTTAACTCCCACTTGAATGGTGGTCTTTCTGTGTCCAAACTTTATCAAAAAGACATAGGGACAAGGTTTTCACACTGACAGCTGTCATTGTAAGACAGTTAGCAACTCCGTTTGTTTGTCCGAGGGAGCAACAATAACTAAGAGGGGCGGGGCTTACCGATAGGTCAATTAGAAAGTTACGAGGTAGATGGTTTTCACCAGAAATTCTGCTGTTAAACACCATTATCTAAAAAAAAAAAAATCTTGAAAAAATGCGATACTCTCATTAAGTTACAATTTTCATCTGCTCAAGCAGAACGTTAATGTCATCGTGCTTTAGCAAGGTATCTCTGGCTAAAACTAGCTAATATTAAAGTTAGTGAGTCCATGCTATTACAAACCTAAATAGCGGACTGTTCTCGCGTAAACACCATTATCTAAAAAAAAAAAATCTTGAAAAAATGCGAACTGGTGGCTTCCACAAATGCATATACCTTCGATCTACAACCTCTGAGCTCACATAAGGTCTGTCATGGTTCAAAAGTTATCACGGAACTGGATTTTTCCTTTCAGAACTGAATGTTGCACTCTATATCAACATTCAACATATCAGACTTTTAGTCTGTTTTACCACAAAGGAAATGAATCGTGGTTTTCATGGTTTTTGAGACACGTAGCAACAGAAGAACCATGGTAAGTCAATAGAATACACTGCCTCACTAAACCATGGTACCACCACAGTACTTGTTGAAAATCCCAATGAATAGTCTCATCTTACAATATTTTCTGCTAAACACTTTTTTACTTGGGAATATACTACAGAAAATAAAATGATCTAAAATGAATAAATAAATGGGTTTTATTTAAAAGTCATCACATGGCGCTCACCTTGACGTAGCAGTAGTAGTGTCCAGCATGGCAGCTGTACCCTGAATGCACAAGGACAGCATAGAGGCCATACATCACTGGATCGCCTGTGTTCTGGGACATGTACGGGCGAATGTTCAGGAACTCTGGGTAGCCAACGTCCTAACAGAAAACCATCAGTCAGCAGGTTGATCACAGAACAAAGGCCCGTCTGTGTGTCACTGGCATGTATAGGATGATACCTTGGTAATTTTTCCTCCACTGAAGTTGGCGAACCGTTTAAGTGACAGCGTCAGCACATTTGATGTTCTGTGAACTGTGAACCTCTTAGTCGCTGGAACCTTCTTTTTACATCTAAAGCAAGAAAAGACTATGATGAACAGCTGTGGCTCTTGAGATGCAAACACGCTTCTGAGTGGTTGCTTACTGAATCAAGAACTCGAGTGGCCTGTGTTTTGATGGTATTGAATAGGGATGTAACGATTCATTCAACTCACGATTCGATTCACGATTTTTTTTGTAACAAAATGAGATTTAAGGCAAATTATAAAATAAATGTGTCCTTTTATTATTGCTTGGACAAAATACTCTGTTTTTGTGTACAGTATTTTGAAATAAATTGAAATATAACACTATTGTAATATAGCACTTAGTAAATTATTGCTCTTTTGTTGGTTTTGATTGCTTCTATTGTCCTCATTTGTTAGTCGCTTTGGATAAAAGCGTTTGCTAAATAACAAAATTTAAATATAATGTAAATGTAAATAACAAAACTAAACTGAAATTTTAAAACAAGCCCCAAATCAAATAAATAAGTAACACAAATAAAAGAAATCTCTTCAAATAAACAAAGGCTTTTTGTCTGTGCTCTTTCCATTTAAAATGAGAGGCAACCACTGCATTTTAATCATGATCCAAACAAAGACGCAGTTTTTAATCTAATTTACATTGTATAATTTCTAAATTTGAAGCAAAAACAGAATGGTCTGACTTCAGTTTTGTGAAACTATGCGTAAAAAATGAAACAGAAACAGCAGAGCTGAATGAGACGCAGATTCACGTTTCCTTGGTTTCCGCTATAAACAAAGCAGCTCTGCACTTATGAATTTTAATATGCATTATACAGAATCAAGAGGAAAAGAAAAACCATCGAAAGACAGTAAGTTCCCCTCAGACATACATTCATATAAACGACCCCTAATTGAATCGCGATTTGTTTAGCATCGCAACCAATTTGAATCATCACATATTTAAATCGATTTTCAACCGGCTCGCGGTTAATCGTTACATCCGTAGTATTGAATAAACTTCTAAGAAAGACCCATGCTTATGGTTGCACAACTCACTTGGCACACATGTAGGCATTCTCGCCACACAAAACATCAGGCTTGACAAATAGTTCCAGAGCACGAACGATGTTGACTGCTTGCTGAAGGGGAAAGGGGAGAGGAGATTTCAGTCTAGGACAAAAACGCATTCATCATCCTGACGTGACTGAACCACAGGGCTTTCAGAATCTCACCCGAATCTCCAGAGCGATGTCCAGGTATGGGTCATACGTATCCGACACACTTTTACAAATAGAGCACTTCACTGCAAAGACAAAGAACACAACATAAAGATACAGATGCGTGCATTGCATGCTATTTGGGTCAGTAAAATTTGTTTTTGTAAAACTGCACTCTTTTATTCTGCAAGAATGCATTCCATTTATCAAGAACTGACAGTAAAGACATTTATAATGTCACAAAAGATTCCGGTTTGAAATAAACGCTCTTCTTTTGAACTTTCTGCTCATGGTTTCCACAAAACATGAAGCAGCAACTGTTTTCAACATTGATAATAATGAGAAATGTTTCTTGAGCAGCAAATTAGCATATTAGAATGATTTCTGAAGGATCATGTGACACTAATGATGCTGGAAATTCAGTTTTGCATCACAGTAATGAAACATTTACATTTTAAAATATATTCAAATAGAACACAGGCATTTTATATTGCAATAACATTTCACATTATAACTGTTTTTACTGTATTTTTGAACAAATAAAAGCAAGCCTTGGGAGGCATAAGATACTTCTATTGACTTTTGAATGGAAGTGCATCTATTACTGTATTTTCCTATGATTTATCTATTCATATAAAGCTGGGTAATATAGCTAATATCTCTATCATAACCTCAAGCAAAAGTAACAATATAACAATCGTGAAAACGCATATGATGATCACATTGTTTAATACTTAATTTTCTATAGACAGCAAAATAATCACACTTTTATTAGATTACACACTCTTGGATTTCAATGCATCATGTTTACCTTAGAAGTTGACGTGATGTCTGTGCTTACCTCTAGACCTCAAATAACCCCCAAAAATCTGGTGGACCAGGGTGGTGGCCTGTGTTTGTCTGTCCAGTCTGTGAACAGAAGGGTTCATTATTCCTCTGATCCAATAAAACAAACTCAGACTTAGTTACGGTAGTAGTCTTACTTGGGATATCCGTTCAAACAAGTTTTCTGCATGGCGTCAATGGTGTAACGCAGAAACTCATGGGCATCCTCTTGACTCCCAAACCGAAAATGGCGAGCAATTTCTAAAGGATTTGAAAACAAGTCAGGTTATGTCAGAGGATAACTGAGGAAAGGGATAGAGCAGGGGTGCCCAAACTCGGTCCTGGAGAGCCGGTGTCCTGCAGAGTTTAGCTCCAACTTGCCTCAACACACCTGCTGGTAAGTTTCTAGTATGCCTATAAGTGCTTGATTAGCTGGTTCAGGTGTGTTTAATTGGGGTTGGAGCTAAACTCTGCAGGACACCGGCCCTCCAGGACCGAGTTTGGGCACCCCTGGGATAGAGAAAAGGAAAAGTGATGTGCTAAACAGAAACGACACTCCCAAGAGTATCGGGAACACAATCCCATGACTCAACACTTAGTCACACGCTACCACAGTAGTCATCAGCAGCACTTCCTGTAACCAGTACGTCATCTCTTTTAGCTTCTAAAGCCATTTGGAAGTGCCGCATGTTTACTTGAACAAACTTGGTTCAGCTTTTAGAGGAAGCTCTTACTTTTCAGATCTCGGATGAACGATACAGGTTTGATGGCATTGCCTGTGTTGGCAAAGGCTTGGATGATATGGTTCTGCATTACACAAATCATGCAGAATCCAGATTGGTGACCTGAAGGAGACAAAAGGGAGATCAGCATTCATAATGAATTCCAGACTTGAAATGGCACAAACCAGCTACCTATACAAAAGTCAGCATTTTTTAAATCATGTATACTCTAAACCAGTGGTTCTCAATCAGGGTGAGACACTAGGAGTTCTTAGAAAAGTTCAAAGAAGAATGACTTCAGATGATATAAACTAACACAAAACAAAAAGCTTTAAATAAGCCAAAATAGCTAAAAATCAGGGCATGTGTCAATTTAATTAGCTGTTCTTTCAATAGCTGTCATTTTTATTTAAGACCCAGGCCTTCCCACAAGTCTTTGGAAACCAGGTTATAATAAACAGGTTAAACAAGCACGTGTACAATTTTCAACAGTCTTAAAAGTATCTTTAAGGAATTTAGCGTAAGTTAGTTAATTATCAACATATGCACAGCCACCTGAATAACAACACATGCAGTTTAATGGCACAGACATTTCAAGGTAAGTACAGCCTCGTTGAGCACTAAGTTTTATCAAGTTAAGCACGTGCAACTGCAGGCTTTCAATACACTGTTCAAGCATTCACATTCAAATATTTACTGAAGCTCTTGCTCACAGGATCGGCTGTGCTCCTTTGAGAGCAGGTAGTTGGCCAGTGGCGGGGTGTAGGTGAGACACTGCACAGTGGAGTTGAGGAAGCAGGTGTTGCCCAGGTTGTGGAGGCCGGCTCCAACCCGATACACCCGTTCCCACTTCATGGATAGCTTGTTTCCAAGAAAGAGCATCTTCTGCGGAGCAGGGATCCCATCGCTCTGCCCGACGCTCAAGCTCTCTGAGACTGTCGTAAAAGACGAGACCAGTTTATTAAGAAAGAAATACCCATATCGGCATTATAAATCATTTAAAGGCTGAATATCAAAACTATGCGCACATGGGATTCATTGTGGATCATGGATCATTAGTAAATTGTGGTAACTAGGGCCGTCAAAATTAGCGCATAATTTTTCCAATTTAACGACGTTAAAAATATTTAACGCGTGACGGGGCGGGGCTAGGGTTGACCACCCTATGCAAGGCGTATTTGGAGTTTCAGCGCAAGAGCACCCTCTGGCCTTCGGACGGAGATTTACTGCTGATCACAGAACCGTGCTTCACTGCATGGCAATTGCAGCTTCTGCCTAATCGCGATTTATCGCCTTTGCGATTTAATTTCGATTAATCATGCAGCCCTAGAGTCACGAAAAAAATATTTACTGTTAAATATTACTACTGTTTTACCCTGAATATTGTTTGTTTGCTTTTTTTAAAAACCATGCCAACTTTTTTGACAATTTTGAAAGAAACAAAACATTTAAGACAGATTTTTCTCTAAAATTCTAAAACTAAATATGAATTAACTTGATTAAAAATATTTTCAAGGGTTTTAAAAGAATAAAACTATTTTTCCAAAGGAGCAGCAATACTAGAATCTAGGGATGCACCGATACTGGTATCAGTATCGGGCCCGATACTGAGCACCTGTACTCGTACTCATTAAAATGCCCCGATACCAAACAGCATGTGATAAGCGCCATATTCAGACAAAGAAACACCGACAACAAAACAACAGACAGCAGAATGGAGTTAAGGATGTCTACTACGAAGTATAGAAATGTTGAAGGTGTCTGAATAAATTTTGGTTTGACTGTATCTATTTGATAAATGAAGTTAACCAACTAACATTATACATACTCTTTAGGTTTCTGTACCCAATATTTAAAAAAATTTACAAATGCAATAAAAATATTGGTATCGGTACTCGGTATCGGCAAGTACCAAAAATAAAAGTATTGGGCGAGTACTGGAAAAAGTGGTATCGGTGCATCCCTACTAGAATCGAATAACATTTTTTTGCTTAAATCTAATGATTGCTAAAACCTCTCTGTTAATTTAATGATGTTTATGAAAATACAACTCCTTATTAACAATTATAAACTAAAATGAAAAACGTCCCTGAGAAATGTACTGAAACAGTGGGCCTGAGGTCTGTGTTGGAGATCTTACTTTGTCTCTTAATCTGAGCAGGTTCAGTCGGTCTCTGCGCCGCAGCTCCGTCATTTTTGGGATTCAGGATCACATATTTTGTCTTGAGGGTCTCCAGCTGGTAGCTGAAGCCTTTGCTGGCAGGTTCAAACTCGATCTTCTGCAGAAGCACTTTCTTGGCGGATGAAGCCAGCAACTTGTTCAGGTCACCCTCATCGCTGGAGTCCTTGCGGCCCGGCTTCAGGGCCTCTTTGAGCTTGTCCACTATCGGCATTATGTGTCACTGAATAAAAACAGATTAAAGAACAAAAAATTTGAGAAACTGCTCCATTATTAAAGCTCTCAGAAATTCTGATTTTCAAACATGTACTTGATTAGCTAGAAGCCTTAACATCACTTTTCAGTTCTTCAAAACAAACATACAGTTAATCCAGAACAACAAACCTGACATATTCAACCCGCTCATTCAAGTTTATGCCAATATATCATGAAACTCATCTGGCAAACCGTGCAAGACGCAATTGAAAACAAGAGCCTGTACATCCGCTCAAACCAATCAAGACACCAGGAACAACAGAAAGTGTCAGCCAGCCACAAACCACAAAGCTTTCACATGCCTTGACAGATAATGTTTTGTTTGTCGTTTCTCCGATCACAAATGCAGACATGGTTTTATGTTTACGCGGCGCGATGCAACGCAACACGTAAAAAGACAGTATAAGTTATAATCGATAATTATGTCCCCACTGGATGCAAGCAACAAATGCCTCGTTTGTAATGGGTTTTATTGGTTTTGTCTCGTCGCGCCGGGACACGGCATCACAGTATGGTAAGGGGCGTAACATTTCCGTCACACGCTTGAGGTATTCGGCCAATCACAACGCACTGGATAGCTGGCCAATCACAGCACACCTCGCTTTTCAGACCGATGAGCTTTGTAAAAATCGACGTGTTTCAGAAAGGCGGGGCATAGAGGAGAAACAATAATGTACAATATGTGGAAAATAATGTGTTTTTTTAACCTTAAACCGCATAAACACATTTCATTACACCAAATACACAAAATAATGTTCTTTTTTTAGCAACGTCATATGACCCCTTTAAAAGAGAACTGACAACATATTAAAAAAAGCTCTGTGCCTCAAAATATCAATCATAACCAGTTTCATTAGAAATAATCACAAAGCATCTCTTTTAGGTGGCTGTAATTTGTCATACAAAGTCGCAATAGATCTTCAGAAAAAAAATATAAGATGCACACTTTGGTGGAACAGTAAGGTTGGGTCCTGCATGGCTTACTCATCAGGTCTTGTGCTGACGTACAGAGCTGAGGAGCAGCAAGCAGGCTGCACATGCATCAGAGCCACAAGGGCAGACTAACCTTCATGTGCGCTTGCGATTAATGGTGACACATCTAAAAGCTGTGTTTCCTAAAATGGGCTCATTTTCTGTTTTACGAAGTATCCTGTATGACCGATTACATCAGAAGAGAGAATAATCTGGCACCACTGGTTCAGATACAAAACAGCTGATAACAAACATACATGATTGTTTAAATATTCTCAAGTCAGTATACAGAAATCTATTACTAGACAAATATTTATCAGAAATATTTTACTGGGGGTATTCCCTGGTAAAAAGGCCTAGTGATGCCCTTGCTCCAAACAAGAAATCCACATTAAAACGACTATACACCACAATTACTGACTGATTACTACCATAGTTTATGTTTTGCGAGGGCAGTTTAGCCACGGTTGTCTTAAACACAATAAATTATCATTTACATTACACCCATGTATCTACAATAGAAAGCTTATTTATATGCATTAATTTATATAGCTCAGACTAGTTTACAAAGGTTTGACAGGAAACAGTAATTATAAAACTGGCCCAGTAAAACGACATGTTTCACACACAAGAACTGCCTTTAAAACACAAGACTGCACTAAAACAATAGCATAAAACTGCATTTTTATGCAATTAATTAAGACTACATGAAAAAAAAAAGGTAATTCTTGCGGCTTTGTACCAACTTATATTATAAAAATTAGACTAATAACATTACATTATTGGCATACTGAGAGATTTATCCCAAAAATGTTTCATTATCCATACATCAATGATACAGTAATTCGCTGAGGTAATGTCTAAAGTGTATTTCCGGCTGAAAACACGTGTCCAGTGAGGACTCATGCCATGTGCCTTAAAACTAGTACACACTAACCACTATTACCATTTAGCTGTCGGGCTTCCAGCTTCTATCTAGTTTATTAAAATGTGCTTACTGTTTCTCTTATTTATATTTTCTCTAATCGTGTTTCAGTAACTTCCACAGCGGGATGGCCATTACATGCACGTGCAGCCCGCGCCAAATTTACTTTCTTTATAAAGTAAATAAGATATTACAAAAGCACCTCCCTCAAACTGTGTGTAAACTATAGCTCGGAGTGCATCAGCAAATCACAATTGACACTTAATATACAATATGTGTTGTAGCTTTACAGTGCATTTATTAGAGGTTGCTACAATGCAGGTGCATTCAGAAAGCTGTGATGATCAAGGACATCATGATGACAGCTTATGAATAACCCTAATGTAATTTTGGGTTGAACCTATAAGTGTTTGGTTAACAGCTCGGATTGTTTACCACAAGACTGCACATTTACTGTCAATGTAGAGGCGGTGTTTTGCGCTGTTACGCGACGCAGTCGCTAACGTTAGTTAGATCCCATATGAGCTGCTAGTCACAAGCTAACAAGCTACTTTAGCATCCGCTTTAGCGTAAACACTGCTGTTTTCATCGCCAGCGTTCACCGTTTCTGCACGTTTGGGCATTCAACGTAAAATATAGCGACAATGATCGCGGTCGGCTGGATGTTTAAGGCAGATATAACGTTATAACAGATTGACTTCTTGAGCTGAGCCTCACAAAACGAACGTGGCGTTCATGTACGTTACTGCTGCAATGTGCTGCTAACCCTCAAACAGGCGTTTTCTGAAGAAACAACACAAATTCTTCCGTCACTCGCCTCCAAACGCGTGCAAATAACATAATATACGTACCCATCCGTGAATGACCGCGAATCGTTTGATCTGCTCTGATGTTAAGACTATATTCTGCTACGAAGCCTTCATTTTGTTACGTTCTCTGCCCCATGCTGCATTATAAAAGGGCGTGTACACGCGTGATTGACGTGACGCCGCGGCCAATCAGCTTTGAGAACGGCTCTCTCATTCATAGCTCCAGTGTCCAATCAGAGGAGGCAAGTCTGACTTTTAACATGGACCCTGTCGATTCATGCGTTGTTTACTCGCCGAGTATGCGGACTGAAGGCTTCCTTATGTGCTGGCAGAGATTTATAAACTGGGGTCCGTGGACACCGAAGGGGTCGCTAGAGGGCGCTGGAAAATAGAAGATGCATAAGGTTATGATGCGAAAAACGCAGAGGCGGACAAAGTACACAACTCCATTACTTAAGTGAAAGTACAGATACTGCTGGTCAAATATTACTCCATTACAAGTAAAAGTTGTATAGACAGATTTTTACTTAAGTAAAAGTACAGAAGTACTTGCTTTTATAAGTACCAAAAGTAAATTTCCTTATTTATGTCAATGCACTGCACGTAATACTTGCAATACCTCTAAAGCAACTTACAATACATCACACCTACTGAATACACTGACTAGCGTGTAGTATCCAGTGTTGGGGAAAGTTACTTTTAAAAGTAATGCATTACAATATTGCGTTACTCCATAAAAAACTAACTAACTACGTTACTTAGTTACTTTTTATGGAAAGTAATGCATTACGTTACTTTTGCGTTACTTTTGAAATCTGGACAGGGCTTGCTTGTTTGTTTTTAAAATAAAAAAAAGTTATATTTTTGGCAAATATAAAAGCCTTTTCACACCAAAAGTGAAATGAATAAGCCTCAGGCTGAAGGAAATTTAAATTTACGTCCGTACAGTAGAATGCAGAAGAAGAAATTTCAACACACTTCAGCAATAAAAAAAGACACAAATGTTT